GACTATAAATGTCAGACAACTATGAGAGTGCACTTGTGCACTTGTGGAAGACCAACAAAAGTTATAATAATAAGAAAAACTTCAAACACAGTTGGGTGATTATTGAGGAGCAATGTTGTTTTTTAGGAATCCCAATTGCATTTTTGTGGCTCTGGAAGAAAAGGGAAAATGTGATAGCAAATGAAAAGGAGAAGCAGTTGGAGAGTGGGGAGATAAGATGGGTTCTGCTGGGACACTGGCATATGCAGTGGTGACATGTGGAGGACTGAAGGGGAAGGAGAGGAGAGAACAAGCCAGAATAATGCCTATACCTTGACTTGTTTAGTCAACTACTAGTCCAGTGTAGTTGACTTGCAGTGCCACAATGACATGGAAATACTTTCTATATTATTTGCATTTAATTGCCATTGTAACAAATTCCAGGGGTCTGGACACCTTTATTTGTTGCAACAAAACTAACAAAGAGTCTTATAGTATCTTATAGACTTACAAATCTATGCTTTTTGTGGGCACTTCCTACTAGTATCTGATGAAGGGGGGAGTGTCTACAAAAGTGTATGCCAAAATGAATGTGTTGTCCCTAAAGCTTCCACAAGAATCTTTGTTGGGTTTTACTGCCTAATGAAAACAATGGGGCTGAAGTTCCTGCTTAGCTTGTCCCATTGGTTTCAGTGAAGTATAAGTGCAGTTAATGTAGATTGGAGCCAATTCATAGGTAACACCTAGTTTCATCTGAAGAAAGAAATTCCATTAGACTTCAACTGTGGTTCAATAATCGTGCCCTAGCAAAGTTCATTTATGCCTTTTAGGCCCATCTGAATTGTTGGGCTTTCTTACAAAGCTCATTAAAATATTTCACAACTCTGGCATGTGGCCAAGAAACCTGCTGCAACAACTTGGCCTGAATGAATTAACCCAGAAGGGGGAAAGGATTATATTAGGCTCCAAGTTCTCAGAACACTTCATGATCCCACGAGAACGAAAGGCTTGCATATCACTAGGTGTTCTGTGTAAGTTGTTCATGTTGCAATCCTTTGCCCAATGGGAGTAAGTCCCATTCAACTCAGGAAGCCTTACCTCTGAGTAGACATGTACAGAGTTGTGTACATCTGAAGAATAAAGTAGAAGAATTCAGTTATTAGCAGTTATTACCTGCTCCTCAACCATGGCTTGCAAAGCAAAGTATGAAAAAAATACAGTGACTTAGATCTAGACATAGCAGTACTTAGAACAGACTGATTAACATCAGTGGGACTTTATTTAGTCTACTTGTCTATGCCACAATCTGTATCCAACCTACCTTCAGATAAAAGGCCCATCAGATCAATTCCTTTGCCTTTATCTGTTGATTGTCCAAGGACTGATACTCAGAGAATACAGATCTCCACTTTGGCAAGCCTGAAGGCCACTTTTTCTTCAATGCAAATAATGAAGGTACAGTTCACAGCTGAAAAGCAGCCTGTTGAAGGTGCCTGACCCTTTCTTTGCTCCTGCTGCCTTTTCTTTCCAGACTTGCCCTAAATGATCTCTCTCTCTCTCTCTCTCTCTCTCTCTCTCTCTCTCTCTCTCTCTCTCTCTCTCTCAGGTTTTTATATGCCATCCCATTACTAAAAATGTCTCTGGGTGGCTTCTGAACCAAAAAACCAGAATGTATTCCCACAGTTGTCCAGTTAATAATATATCTGGGATCTCCCACTAGGGAGAAAGTGGCATGGGGAGGAAGAGAAGAAAAGCTGAAAAAGAGATCTAGCAGGGAAGGAAATCTAGAAGGTTTTTCTCTAAGAAGTGAAAGTCATGATATCACTCTATAAGTACCTCAGGCTGTCAGGATCTCTTCTTGCTGATGCCAGAGTGTAGGACATGGAATAATAATTCAAGTTGTGACAACCCAGATTCAGGCTGGACATCAAGAAAAGCTTCCTCACTGTCAGAGCAATATGGCAGTGGAACCAGCTGCCTAGAGAGGTGGTGGGCTCTCCCACACTGGAGACATTCAAAAAGAAACTGGACGGCCATCTGAGTGGGATGGTGTAAAGTGGTGTCCTGCAACAACAGACAGTTGGACCCAATGGCCTTCATGGCCCCTTCCAACTCTACTATTCTTAGTGCTCTCCTTTCACTCCACATTAGTCCCTGATGCACATTAGCTGCTGAAAATGTAGTCTTCCCCTACCTGATGCTTTCCAGATGTTTCAGACTATAACTGTTTAGCCATTGGACCTACTGGCTGGGCTTGGCAGGATTCGTAGAGCTAAGCTTCTGGAAGGCAGCATGTTGGAGAAGGCTAGTTTGGATCACCCTTAGAAGAGATATGCCTTCATTGCATGTATAGTCATGTTTGTTTGTTTCATTTATTACTCCCTTCTATGCACACTTCTTCTAATTACATGCTGTGAAATTCATCCAATGAAAGTTACCTTAGATATTTTGTTAAATAATGGGATAACCAGTGTGGCGTAGTGGTTAAGAGCATGGGACCGGGACTCAGACGATCTGGGTTCCAGTCCCCGCTCAGCCATGGAGCCAACTGGGTGACTTTGGGCCAGTCACAGACTCTCGGCCCAACCTACCTCACAGGGTTGTTGTTGTGGGGATAAGATGGAGGAGGAGAATGATGTGATGTAAGCTGCCTTGAGCCCTTTGTAGGAAAAAGGCGGGCTATAAATCGAAAAATAAAATAAAATAAAATAAATAAATAACCATGTATCTTTGACAACACAGTGGAAAACAACCTGGTTTACTTGTGCTTTGTAAAATCAAGGAATAAGCAAAGTCCTTAAAACATTTTTTTTTGCAGGATCCAATATCACTTAAGGCCAACTCCTAAAGCTTCCTTGCTAGGTTTTTGTTAAGCACAAAGGCTTTTGGATTAAAGACTACTATCCATTTTTAACAACACGTGCCAAGCTTTGTATGTGATTTTCATGCATCTCTGTAGCATAATATGTGGCCAGCGTTTACATGTGGGCATTCTTAACCCACTATGCCAGTGTAATTTCATGATTTTATGTTGGGTGGTCATGGCATATCTCGTTTCTTATATAAGTTACTGAGATATACCATGGTCAAGCAGAAGCATTATTTCAATTGGTTATACATTTATATATAGGTGCAATGCCACATGCCCCAACTGCTGTGGCATATAATTCTACAAATAAATAATTAAATGTCTGTAAATTATAATTGTGTATTTGACTACATCTCAAGTAAATGTGCATCCTATGGAAAATGAGTTTGCCGTGCTTCTGTGCTATATACACAAAACAAAAGAATGGTGCGAAGTCCGCTTCTTAAAAAAATGTATTTATGCTTGAAATTCTTATGCTGTATATCAGGGGTGGCCAAAGCAAGGCTTGAGAGCTGCATGCACTCTTTGAATTTATTTTGCGGCTCTCTGCTTACTGCTACAGGTGCCTACTTGCTGCTTGCAGCCCCCCCCAGCACCTCTGCCTGCAGGCACCTGCTTGCTGCCCACTGATCACTGCCCAGGAGGACCTGCTTGTGGCTTTTGAACATCTGACTTTTACTGTATGTGACTCTTGAGCAAGTCTGGACACCGCTGCAGTATATTAATCCAAATCAGAGAGATGTGAAATCAATTGATTTAGTTGTCCAGTTTCCAGTCTTGGAAATATATGCTAATTTTGGCATAGAATAAATGATCTCTTGCACACACGCTCCAGTCCAAAAAGGTGCATTTCTTATCATACATTTTGTGGGGACTTTGCACATTTTCAAAAGTACAGATTTGCACACGCATGTGTGTGCATCTTTGGCAAATGGAAAAATCCAATTCTGTCAATGAAAGAAAGACAGAATTGCAAGGAACTTGACCATGCATGAATGTAGACAGAACAGATTTAAGAAAATCCCTAGATCCCCCAAGCATTCATTCTGCTGCTGAGCTCTGCCTCCTCTCTACAGAATTACACCTTTGAAAAAAATCTAAACCAACTTTCCAAAAGTCCCTCTTACAACTCTTCCTTGAAAGTTCCCTCTGCCCACAGCCTGGATCACATATATGGTGATAATAGTGTGCAGAAATCAGTCCATGTTAAGCAGGAAGCTCTCCTAATGTCATCATTAAAGTGATTAACTTCAATTGGATCATTCCATGACCTCAGGTATGTTCCTTTTCCATCCTGTTCCTAGGAAAGCAGCAGTTTGAGAGCAAGAGAAAATTCCTCTCCCCGTTGTCCTAAAATGTCTTCCTAGAAAATGTTGATGGAGATTAAATAGAGGCAGAACTGTCTTTGGATAATCTATATCTGGCTTATTGCTTGTGATCTAATTAATCCACATCCAGACTGATCTTTTTGTCCACCAACTAGACCAGCTCTTCCCAAACTGCAGCCCTCCAGATTCTTTGACTGCAGCTCCTATCACCTTTGATTATTGCTCATGCCAGCGGGACTGGTGGCAGTCTAAAACATCTGAAGGGCACTAGGTTGGGGAAAGGCTGCTCTAACCACTAAACTTCATGCCAGCCCTGCAAAAGTGGTGGTCTGCCGACCAGAATGGCATCCAGTCGCCACATGTATATACCAAGTAGGAGCATGGCCAGTTTCTCATTTGCTCCCCATCAACTGGCTGGCTGCCACCTGGCAGACCAGAGAAGACGTGGCTGGTGGGCTGCTTTCAGTGGGTGGTAGGAATTTGGTTGTCCTTGCATTCCAAAGGCATCTGGTAATAGCCCCTCCCACCCGGATTGCTGACGGGGATCAGGATGCAGAAAGGGCCCCTCTGTGTTGCGGATGTCAGAGCACACAGAATGAATGGTTCATGCTGGTGACTAAAGACTATTACATAAAGTTTCCATTCTGTGAATAACAAGAGTATGGTATGGCGCGAAGCAGGGTTGCAAACAGATTTCAGAAATATAAACTCTGAGCACTTAATTCTAAACATATCCTGTGCCAAATGTTCTAGTACGGCCACCGCACAGCACTCCTAGACAGATGGAGCTCATTTTTCTCTTGTTCTCTCCGTCTTTTAAACAGATGGCAAATCTGTTCATGGGATCTACGTAGAGTCACTTGCATTGCATTGGAAATAAGCGCAGAAAGAATTTTGCCAGACCAAGTTCGCCATCCTGCACTTTTTGAAGATAAGGTGACTCATAATCTTTGCTAGGGTTTCAGGGGACCTCTCTTCCATTAAGTGTAAGTAATGGGTTCTTTCTGTATCAGGAATTAACCACTGGGCATTTTGATATCTACTTGTCTGATGGAGAAAACAGAGGCCTTGGAGATTGCACTGAAAGTCAGATTAGAGCTCAGACGCCCCTCTGCTTTGCACTTAGGATCTTGGGCAGCTATTTTCCTTTGCCTTTTCAGTTTTCCTCCTGGAAAGTGGGTGTTTCATGATAGACCCCACTTACCATAGTAGTCAGTGACCTGTTTCAAATGACATACCAACCCAGGACCTGGATCACCTATGGTGGGTTATTGTATTGTGTAACCCCAACACAGTTTCTGCAAGATGGCTTATTTTTCTACAAATAATTCATGGCTTGTTTTAGGGTTGTTAATACCCATGGTGGATTGCTGTGTCATCTGAATCCAGCAGGCTGTTTTATCGTAGGCTGCTGGGAATGGCTGGAGACTTGCCCAGTGAAAGCACCAAAAACCCTTCCAACTCCTCACAATCTCACTTGTGTTTCTTCTCAGTGTCTTCTCTGAGAATCTAAGGACTCTGAAGACTAAGGCTAAGAATCTGACGACTCTAAGAATCGTAACTATCACAATGTGATAGTCAGCAATGGAAGGAGGCAACAAGCAGGAAACAGCGGGGAGCTGAAAGCAGCTAGACAGAAGCTACATTGCCCACTGGGTGTTGATACTTCAGTGTAAAGTGAAGTTTCCCTAGTGTGAAGTAGCAACAGAGGGAGGTGACAAGGAAGAAGGTGATGTGGAAGCAGATGTGGCTGGAGAAGGAGTGGATACTTTTACTTCAGTACTAAGTGAAGCAGTCTTCAAAGGCAAGTTCTGAAATGGAGAGTAAAATTGACATTGACAAGAGAGGAATACTAGTATTCTGGGCTAAATCACTGAGAATTGATCTTCCACAACAACAAAATTCCTTGGAAATAAACAAACACATAGCTAGAGAAATTAAGTCCATTTAGTGATCCAGTATGAGGATAAGATGGAGATTCCCTCTGTAGCTGAAAGCCCAGCAGACAAATTCCAAAAGGTTGCTGACACAGGGACTGATGCAAGAAAAGTTCTGTTGCAATGGTGTCTGGGATAGTTGCCAGAACTGGTGGGATGAGTTATGAGTAACGAGGGGAGAGACAAGGCATGGAAAGTATGACCCTCCTTCAGAAGTACCATGTGTTGTTCAGCAAACAGTCAACAGATGGGATGGTGGCTTATCGGTAGGGTATTGATGTATGAGCTTGCCTCTTCTGCGAAGTAAGCTGTCTCTGCCTACCTGGCACTTATTTTGCAAAACTGTCCACAGCACGATCTCCAAATTTTAGATGTACCCAGCAGCCAAAAAGGGTTAAGGGCTTCTGAACAAGGTGTTCTCTTGTGCATGAAATCTATGCATTGTAATAAATAGCCATCAGGGAAGGAAGAGCAATGCCAACTGAAGTGAGAACAGGTTGCTTTTATCTTCTCTCTCCAGTGCAAGAGAAAGAAACTTGTCTCCCCACTCTGGTCCACATCTAGGATCCTTGGAGAAAAAGTTCCCAATGACTCCAATAGAAACTTGGAGCCTTGATGTTCTAGCCTTGATGGGGATGGTGGTGAACTGACATTCTAGTTTTGGGCATGCCAGGGAAGGAATGGAAAATGTTTGCCTCCTAACGTGCTTTAATGAAGAAACATGCTCATACATAGGTGAATCAAGAGGCCTGGTTGGGTCCTTCATTTAGTAGCTGAACTGTGACCCTAGTGTGGGAAATAAAGATACTTTTAAGATCCAGATCAACCCCCTCATCCTACATTAGAGTAAAAATGGGAAATGGAAAAAAAAGTGTAACTGCTAAAGTAATGTTTGTATTGGTCTTGAGTACATGTACATACACATACACATTTACTTATTTGTTTATTAAATCTGTATCCTGCCCATTAGCCAAAATGGCTTTCTGGGTGGGTTACAAAATATACTATAATAATAATAACAACAACATACACAGAGTATTTTGGGGAGCTTGTTCTTACCAAAGCAGGAAACTGTCTCTAAAACATTTCCCATATTCTCAGGTAAAGGTAGCTCCTTCTCCAACTTCTTTTGTGATTGTTGCCTGAATGATTCACAACTAACTAACAGGTAAACCTGTTGCACAAGTCTGGTTTGTTTTTCAGACTTCTTCACCAACCTGGCTAAGAACCTGCTCAAACTTATGGGAAAGCAGTTTGGTAGTTTCATCTGGAACTGGTTTAGGAGTCTGACATCAGAAACCTGACTGTACTTGCACATTCAAAAAGCCCACAGCATTACCAGAACTATACGTGTGAGGACTGGTAACTATTTATTTATTTACTATCCTGCCTTTTTAACTCCAAGGAATTCAAGGTGTCTTACACAATCCTCTTCCTCTTCTGCATGAGTGAAATGGTGTAGCATGGTGTTCTGCACCAGCCAGGGGTTGGACCCGATGTTCTCCTTGGCCCCTTCCAAACTTACTGTTCTCAACAAGCTTGTGAAATAGACTAGGGTGAGAATTAGTGACTTACCCAAAGCTTCTTGGCTGGTGAGCTCCATGGACAAATGGGGGCTGAAACTGGACCCCCTGAATCCCCATCTGACACTCAAGCAACTAAACCACCCTGGCTCTCACCATTACAAGTTGTGGTAGGTCAGAAGTGGGTATGGAATGGGGAAGGAGAGAGAGCATGACTGAGAGCATGCCCGACTTCTATTGCCATGGACGTTTAATAGGGACAGACAAAAGGGTCAGGGGGAGAACGAGTGAGAATTGCCACAGCTTTTTGATATCCTACTTTAGAGGTGCATGGAAATCACTGGTATGAGGGTTGCCCAACTCCTAAAGGATCCCCACTCTTGCTGCAGGATTACCCACTGTTATTGCCAATATTTATTTATTTATTTATTTATTTATTTAAAACATTTCTATGCCACCCCCATCACAACAAAGCCTCGGGGCGGCTCAAAAAGAATACATAAAACATACATAAATAATAATAATATAGCAATTAAAAGAAGAAAAACAACAACAACAACAACAACAACATTAAAAAACCCCTGGTGCATTCTCGGCTAAAAATTTTAAAAGCCTAATTAATACAATAATTTAGCAATTAAAATAAGTTTTAAATAAAAAGGTCTTAGCCTGGCACCGAAAAACAAGTAACGATATCTCTCACTCCATGGAGAAAAAGGCTCATCTGGTGAGGGTTTATTCATGCAACTCTGAGCCGTTTCTTAGCACAGAGAAAGCAGAAAAGGGCAGGAAGGTGCTGATGTCTACCTTAAGTCCTGCTTCTGTGGACCTGCTCTAAGAAAGACTACATTTGGATGCAGCTCAGGTCCAGCACAGCTGGCACCTTTATGGCTGTCCTCAGTTGTGTGGCTGTCCCTCTGCCTCCAGACTTCTGCCTGACAGTCATGCCTCAGCTCTTCTCTCCAAAGGCTACTCTGGGAGCCTTCATCTCCTTACTTGTAGACACTTTCCTCACTTGCTCTCAGTTTTTGGATCAGCTTCCTGGTCTTGTGGTTGCCCTTCTTCCTGGTTGATGTCTTTCTCAGGCTCCCAGCTGGTCACAAAGATGGTTCCTGACAGCTGTCCCTCAAGCAAAACTCCCCAGGTGAACTACTTCATGGACACATCATATTGATGTATCTCTTGTCAGGCCTCAAATAAAAGACAGACTTTTTCTCTTTTACTATTAACCCCTACATTCATTAAAAGGAAATACAATAGTTAAGCTTTTAATTCACAAAAAGTCAGGTTCTTTAAATGTTCCATTTGTAAATTGCCCAGTTTTGGATACCGCACTTTGCCTCTGCAGTTTACCACAGCTTCTGGTTCCTTCATCCACGTATGTTTTCCATCTCTTACCAATGCACAGGTTGGGCTGATCAAATCTTGCAAGAAAGCAAACTTGATGCTCTGGTGAACAGTCATGTATCAAGATCCTTTTGTGCAGTGTGTCCTGGTGTGCAGAAGCACATTTGTATACCAGTAAAATACAACATGGAAGGACCGTTGATGCAATTGCATATCTACAGTAGCAACAAGATTGCTTGATGCAGCATTTTATCAATGCAGCCATGTGCCACAGTCACATGAAGCAGGGGAAAGATGCACCTGAATGGAAAGAACAAAAAGTTTCAGTAATTTGTCTGCACTGCAGTTTCAGAATTAATTTGAGAAAGTCCCCTAGTTAGTTTGGAATTCAGGAATAGCAGAAAGGAACTTACTTTTCCAGGAGGGGTTAGGACATTAGTGAAAAGTTAGGACACACAAGAGGGCTTGGAAAAATGAACACAGGGAAGCCAGACAAGCTGAGGCATGGAGAGTCTATTAAAAATGAAAAGGAGTCCAACAGTTGGCCAAGTTCAATGCTAATGAGAAGATGCCAGTGTCCACGCTCCAGTGAGAAGATCCCTTCTTTCCTAGAAAGTAGGTTAATTTGCTGGAATAGCCAGAGAACATCTGCAGCATCTGGCAAGCAAGAACCTGCTGAGCCAGAATGAAGGATGGTGGGCCACATCAGTAAATTGTGGGAAAGTCTCTCTGTGTGTAGGGTGGAGGGGGGCGGGGAGAAAGCTGAGCCAGAATATGGGGTGAGGTGATCTTATATAATGTGTGATTTCATATTATCAAAGGCTTCTGTTCAGCATGCCATGATGCCAAGGAGGACAAACCTGTGAGTTCACCACATGAAAAGGAGCCCTGCCAATTAGTCCTAAGGCCAATTGGCAGGATCCAGGCTGTCTAAAAGGAAGACCTGCTAAAAATCTTTTAAGATGCTACTTATGCTGTTTATTCCAAGGAGAGTGGCATTGTGAGACCTTTGCCAAACCATAAGCACACTTAAGATTAACTCCATGCATGGTTATGTGACAATGGGTCCCCCTCTGGTTCAATGGGTATGTATTAGTCCCACAAATGCACCCTAAAGAGTTGGTCCATACCCTTAGGCAGTTCTGACAGGAGAGATTTTTCCCACCAAGGAACATCGGAGTTGTTTTTCATTGTCTTTGGGGACATCAACATACAAACAGGCTGGGTCAAGGTCCATTCTGTGCTGCACCACCATGGAATTGTGCTAACTCAGAAGATTTGCCTATCTAGGTTTATGCTTCCAACTCTGACCAGCAGCAAAAAGATTTCCCCTTAAATAATTTTAGTGGGAAATGAAGGGGACAGGACCTGGGGTCTTTACCATCCCGGTGGAATATTTTGATGTAATTTAATCTTGACTACATTTTATTTATTTATATTATAGCCTACCTTTTTTCCTTTCAAAGAATTCAAGGCAACTTACATAATTCTCCTCCTCTTTTTCCTCACTTTTATCCTCACAACAGCAACCCTGTGAGGTAGGTTGGACTGAAAGGCTGTGATGAGCCCAAAGTCAGCTCCATGACTGAGTAGGGACTAGAACCCAGATCTCCTGAGTTCCAGTTGCACAGCCTTAGCCACTACACTACACATCCAAGATCATGAATTTGACACTTCATAGGAATGATGCTTAACTCCTGTTTCAATTTTCCATCACCCACTGTCCCCTTTCTTCTACCATTTCCATGAAGGATTTCTCTATAGTGTCATTTCCCAAACTTGTCCCCTCCAGAAGTGTTGGACTACAACTCACAGCATCCTGAGCCAACACAACTGGAGGCCAGCAAGTTGGGGAAGACTGCAGTATGGGGATATTTTAGGAAAAAAAATATATGGCAGTCAACCAAGGTGAAAAAATAATTAACTGAATTAATTGTGAAGATCAGTTGAACTTCTAAAATCCCTACTTGTGTCTCAGGGAAGTAAGTGGCTATTATAATATTATTGAAATTAAAAATAGAGGTATTTTTCAACCAGGGTCTACTGTAACTCCTCATGCTGGGTAAGCCTAGCCTGGACTTGCCTATTTGTTTTAAAGGCCCTATTTATTTGTTGTTAATGACAGTCTAGGATGCAGAAATTAATCAGGTGATGCTTTACCCATCCCTTTATGTCCATGCCAAAAAAACCTTGCCCTGTCTAAGTATTAGACTGAGGTAGAACCAACACAATTGTCACACCAAATCCAACTTCCTGCCTCTTCATTTCCTTCATGGTGCTGACATATAAAGCAGCAAAAAGCAACAGATATGCGGTATCTCACTTGGCCCAAGGGCCAAATCCCATTTTGGAAACAATCCTGAGACTGTATTCCAGTAGTGGGTAAAACTAAAGTCAAAAGCGGGTGGATCGACAGCAAAAGGGACCAGAGAGAGCAGTGTATTTTAGCTTAAAGCTCTCATTGCCAATAGGAACACCCTGGGAGAAACATTTCAAAAACTGTGCAGAAGCTGGGAAACTGCTGAACCATTGGAGAAAAGACTGCATGGTTGCTGCAGAACCACAGGCCACCAGATTTGGCCTGCAGGCTCCATGTTCTTCATCTCTGAAATATAAGAGGAGCTCCCCTTGCTCTAATATCCTAAATGCAGAGAAATCTTTCCGTGTTGACCTGAATGCTCAGAAATGCTTGGGCCTTGCAAGGAATTCTGGGTGCATTTGGGCATGCAGAACATTCTGGGCAGAATTTTGGGCAGGCCAACTGGGCTTCACTCCATTTATTTATTTACATATATTTATAGGCCACCTATAATTGCCAAGGCCTTCCTAGGTGGCTTACAATGTAAAACATACCAACAGAGTAGAAACACATTTAAAACCAATTAAAACATAATACATCGAACATCTATAAAATATTTATTTATTTACATAATTTATTTAATTATGGGTGCTTCCACATGGAAAGAAGACATGGTACAGCTCTTCTATCTCTCCTGCCTTAACAGTTCTATAGTAGGAAAGAAGGAAATGGAAGAAGTGGTGGGAAAACACTGGAGGACTATAGCATTTGGATTTCCCCACACAATTCTGTGAAAGAGACAAGGAGATTGTACAATCAACGCATTATCTGAGAAAACCACAAGAAATTATCTTCATATTCCAGTAACAGTTCTTGTTTTAGCAGCTCCTCTACCTGTACCATTAACAGGAGCTGTAGTGGCAGATCTTAGCAAATGATTGTGCATGATGTCCTGATTTTTTCTGGTAAGTTGCTCTTGTGGTACAAGAATAAACCAAATCAGGTTTTGTTCTTAAACATCTTCTTGGCCAGCTGACAATCTTTCTTACAGAGTTCCTATCCCTATCCTACAGCTATGCATTGTGGAGCAAGATCTGTAGAGGTGCCTGCCAAAGCTATTTTTCTGGGAAATGTTGGCATGGGTACTAATATTCTCAATGTGGTGGTTCCTGGGAAAATGGGTTCAAAAAATGCCAGAGTTAAACAGATCTCAAACTGACCTGAAATCTCCTGACATTAAAAGGGCTTCCAAGTGCCAACTAGCTTACCTGGAATGAGTGTAGTGCTGCTACTGTTACATGACATTGATGTTTAACCTATGTAAGTGAAACAATTCTGTGTTGCTCTGTGTTTTGGCAACATTGTTATATTCTTAAATAATTGCAGCACATTATGTTGGTGCTCGTGAACTTGTGGAATCAGTCAGAACTACAGAGAACTTTTATAATGAACAACATAATCTTGCAATGAACTTCTGCATATCTTGCAATAATCTTCTCCACGTCTGATAAGGAAAAAAGCTGTAAGTTACAAACATTTCCATCAAGCTAACTTATCACAGCAGATTTAATAAGCAACACTCTGATCAGTAACATTAGGGCTAACCAAATGGTTGCTGATAGGAATGGTTTCCATTGTAACTTAAGCATGGAATGGACCAACACAGCCAGACAAGCTATTTTGGGACTGCTTCAGGCCAACAGATCCCCTCTGAGTTTCCTCTTCTCCAGGCTGAAGAGACCCAGTTCCCTCAGTCTTGCCTCATATGGCATCCCCTGCCGTAGGAGGTGATTGAATATGTCCAAATAAATAAATAGATAGATATTCAAACTAGTCCCTTTATGATCTTGGAT